GCGATTGCGATCTTCGATACCGGAGCCATTGCCGTTTCATGTAAACCTGGCCAAGAAGGACGGCCGCTGCGCAAAGCACGAGAAGAAAGACCAGCCTCTTCTTGGTAACACCACTGCCAAGAACCCAACTCAGAACAACCGCGACCGCAAGTGCGGCAAGAACTGATGCCAGAATTCCTTCCGTGGACAATAGGGATTCGTCTTCGTTCGTTGTCGGGCTAGGATCCCTGTTATCTAGCTGCGACTGCCCCAGGCCCGAATGGCCACTTAAAAGCTGAGACGCAATGATTGTATATCGGAATTGTTCGAGAAATTTGGCGTTGTCAGCTCGGTCGATACTCGCTGCAACCGCAGCCTATGGCAGGTAGTTTTAGCAATCGTTGATAGGTCACACCAGTTCGAGGTGACATACTGAATATTTCCTGCTAGCAGATCGCAATGACGAGGGCTTAGGGACTTGCAAATGTAGCCCATTCGGAGCCTTATTTCGAAATCTTGGTTTAACTAAAGGTCGGCCAGTGGGTGCGAAAGGAGATGGGCTGGATGGTGGTGATGGGCTGGATCGACCAGCGGAGGAATCAAGTTCGGGCGTTACTGCACCGGGCGCCCAGTCAGCCTGGGGCTCATCTCCCCCATCTTGAGATATGTTAGTCTACACAAGGGAAAGCGATGTCGCGCGCAAGGGAGAATGATGCTGCTGACCTCTGAGGTAGTCGGCGAACGGAGTCTCCTCATACACCACGGGCTCCATCTAGCTTCTCTGTGACGTCGTCGGTGTCGATAAGCAGTCACACAGAGCCATCGAGCGGTGCTGATCGATGGAGAGTGAAAGTGTCGTATGTGATATCTTGTTGCGATGTTGATTAAACCAGTACGAGTATTGTGTTCAGGAGAAGGCGACAAACAGTATGGACGGATTACGGAGTATTAGACGAGCGCGAGCAGGGACAGGCAGGCTGGTTCGTTGATGTTGCCAATTAGGGGAGCTCCACGCTCACCGTAGTGGCCAGCCGGAGCCGCGGCAGGGATCGTGTGGCTATCAAAAGCCTGTCAAAAGCGCCGCAACCTTGACGGAAAGTATACGGACCCCGGAAGCTTGAAGTTTAGCCTTGTCAGATGCAATTTCGAGCCGAACTGATACTATTTATGCAGTCAACTGTGGAAGACGTAATAAGGTGCAGGGAGACGCAGGGACGACCCAAGACACAGCGTATCAGCATCTGACAAAAGGGGCACTGGAGCTTCTGAACACCTATTCGTCCCGAGAAGAAGAGAAAAGCCAAGAATCCAAGTCCTGAAATGACAAAATTAAGGTAGGCAGTCAGGTAAGTCGATGATCAAATCTAGATGCCTTTATCAGTGTATTTTCCAACCTCCCTGGGAGCAACAAAGCTTCAAACATTAAGCTACGATCAAAAACTGTTAAGGCCTCCAGGCTGCTGAGACATGCTAAACTTAGGTACCTGAGTCTTTTTGTGACCTATCATACCTACCTTGGAATAGAGACCCTTCAAGTTTTTCGCCTCCTGTGAGGCACCATGTTCAAAGTTACAGGCTTCGTAGCTCAATCCTCGGGAAGCAAGAAAATATCAGGCCTTGATGCAGGATGTAGCCAAAGGTATCCTAAATTTATACTAAGTTACCTGAATCTTTTTATATTAGGGTCGAAGACCCGAATTTTCTTTCCTCCTCCCTCGAGCCTTTATGACAGAGCCAGGAGACTACCAGTAAGTGCCTCTGAGGACTCGTTTGTGGAGCAAGGTAGAAAATGATCGATAGCGCCTGAGGCATTCACTTATCATAGTTGGGTAGGTACCCCAGCGAGCTCATGGGAACTCAAAGAACCTGGGGTAATATCATGTTTCTGGTTGGCCACTTGTGTGTGGGCCAAATGCTTCGTATTGAAAGTTCTATCACCCACCCACCTTTACATACAACCTTCCAAGAAACCAGCTCTAACGCGAATTTTGCGTAGAGCATACCCACGATGCTGACATGAACCGAATTCCGATACTGTGTCCCGCGATTCGAGGAATTCCAATGCTTCGACGATGCACTATCTCGCACTGTACCGGCGCATGCGTGCGTGTCCTGTCGCCGGCTCACCAAGTGGCATCTGGATCTCCAATAACCTATTAGCCCAAGCCATTGAGCGATTCCAACGCTTCGATCCGATTCCTAGTCGATGCTTAAGCTCATATGCCGGGCCTCTCGAGAGCCGGCGCCGTTTAGGCAAGCGATATATGGCTGCCGTTGTACCCAATTCTCATGCTTCACCCTTTCCTTGGAGGATCGAAGTGCCCATTAATCTCGGCGAGTGGACTTGGGAGGCTCCTGTTGCACCGAATGATCGCCATAAAAAAAAGATTGGGTTGTTTGAGCGCTTTCTCAGGAACCTCGAGGACATTGGGCACGAAGAAAATACCAGCCTTGCAACTGCTACACCACCACCGGAGGCGGTTATGGTGCCCGTGGCATTGACTCTCACATCAATAGAACAGGCCCGAGGTGATATGAACGAGCGGCTCGCCAAATTTTACAAGTTCGAAGACGAAAACGCACTGAGGAAGATTTGCGAGCCCTATGTTCTTCAGATCTTGAAGATGATCGAAGAAAGGACGATTTCTAACGACGACCTCATCCAAGCTCTCGATCCGTTTGACAACCATCTCAAGCAACGAGCACCGGCCAAAGTCCTCGATGACAGGGTTGCCAAACAATGGGTCTACATAATCCACGCTATGTATCGTACCCGGACCACCTCGACTGAAGATTTGTACGGGAGCCATGTTTGGCACCAGTGCCTCAAAACAATATTGCATATGGCACCCCAGCCCTCTACCTTCCATTGCCTTGAGGAGCTTTTGAGACTTATTGCTTTATACGAAAAAATACAACTAGATACAAGTGACTACCTCGACCTCCTGCATAGCCACAACCGACTGGAAATGACACAAGGCGAACAACATCCTACGCAACCTATATCATTTCGCCTCTTACGCCGCAGTATGCAATTGACTAGATTAATTTCTGCCCGAGGTCTGACGCAAATGGAGACGTTTGAAGCTTTGACCAAACATTGCTTTCAGTTCGTCGACGAGACCACAGACCAACGTACCTTGGCTTTTCAGCTATTGTTAAAATTGGCGGCAGTCCCAGGTCTCAAGGCAGGCGAATTTTCTACCCTCGCCGGCAATGTTCACAGCATACAAGATTGGGTAGAATCAGAAATTTGGCAATTCGTGGCAATTCGTCTTATGAGCACGGCACAGGGAGGAATACGGCCTGAGCAATTATACAAATGGATTACCAGGCCTACGCAATTACACTCCTGGGCAGCAATGCTTCAAGACTCTCGTCATAGCGAAACCAAGAAACGCATAGCGAACTTGAGGGCGCTTACACACACCAGTGAAACCTTTGGACACCTTGATACCTTGATCAAGTCGGTTCGACTGGTGAGCGATCGTCATGGGGTTATACAGGATATGATGAAGATGGAAAAGGACCCGTATTGTGCCGTCATGATTTGGGAATCTTATAATGCAGGAGCGCCAGTCAAGCATAAATTCCCTTGGTACATGTGGGCACGACATGCAGAAGCTATAGTAACGCATCCGGACCTACCACCAGACCTCATCTGGCAGATCGCCGAATTTTGCTCATCAAAGACTGCTACCCGGCTTAAGGCCCCCATCGTACGGAACCTTGTGTTTATGATGGACTTTCTGGAAGAGATTTGTCAATTCTACATGAAGAAACCCGGCCTAACACCCCGACAGCGCCTTAGATATATCGAAACCGCTATCAACTGGGGCAAAAGGACTGGGCAGCATATGTCGCAGCCTGTGATACAAATTCTAGCTGAGATTCTGCTTCAAGATCTCGAAGAGGGTAAGATGGGCCGCAAGACACGGCTTCGATATTTGGTCAAAAAGATTGGGCATTTCTATGGAAAAGAGCAGGCATCAAAGGTTGCCGTCTCACTCGATGGGTGGAGATGGACCAACAGGCGTAGAGGGGGAGGGTTACCACGAATGCCAGCGCCAACGAGGGAGGCGCATTTCAAATCGGAAGAACCGACCAAGGAGCTCCCAGACTATTCAGTGCAACCAACTCTGGAAGAGAGTCTGAAAAGGCCACTTCGGCAAGCATGGGAGCAGACCCTGCCACCCATCGGAGGACTTAGGTACGACTTTGAAAGCAAGGATTCTCGAGAAGAGGACGACAACGGTGTGGAAGATGAAGGTACTTTGGAATCTATCATGAGGACTCAGCGACGAAAGGAAGAGGCCAATGCTGGGAAAGGTTCAAGCTTTTAGGCAATGCATGATGTGGTTTACGTTAACACATGATACCCCAAGGAGAGAAGAAGAAAAATATTTGACGAATTTTCTTCATGAGAAGAGTTAGAAGCCCTCAGCGCCTCATGCACATAGGTTTTTGTGGTGTTTGGCAGAACTCATAGCCCCGAAGAATAGAGGAACGAATATGAAGATTAAATCGCCCTCGTGGCAGCAGATAGCTTTTGATACACGTACCTGACAATCTTGTCGGAGATAATAGATAATTTGGATCTATGTAACGCAGGCGTGCAAGAACAAATCAAAAGGTGTATCAGCTTATTAGCGAAGAAATCATGAGACCGTCATTACTAAATCTAATCTACAGAAGATATTCAATAGATACTGCAGATCTTGGGCGTCCATACATCAAATGCCAATACAGGGACAAATAAATAGCAAAATAGAAGTCAGAAAATCTCATAAGACATGTAAAATCAAAGGTTGACTGTCCTTGCTCAACCCAGGCAAGACGTGAAAAACAGAAAGGAAAAGCAAAACATAAAACTGAGAACGTGAGACCCTTTCCCCTTCATTCAAACCAGAAACAAACAAAGGAAATCCTCGCTAGTAATGCGTTTGTCCCCCAGAATTCCAAAGACCAAAACACCGCCTATATCCTTTTCCCAAGTGGTATCTTCCCATATCCTGTATCCCTTAATCTACATAATCTACCTCAGTTTGACCCATTGTCTCGGTCACAAGACTTATATGACTCCTAGCGCCGATGGAAGTGCTTCCACCATCACTTGCACCACCAAACAGACCCTTGGAGCGGGGCACAAGAACCTGTGCAGGGCATACAACTATCTCTTCGTCGCCTTTGCCATTATCATCCCCCTTTTTGACGACAAGTGGGAAAAGCACAACCCGAACGATGGCACCTTGTGCCTCAAGGTCTTCATTTGAGGTTGTTATGCTGCCGCTTCGTTCATTCATCATTGATGCGTTGAATTGAACTGTTGCGGTAAGCTCACCGTCCGCGTCGTATTCAGGGCGCAAAGGCGGCAGCATCATATATTCAGCTTTTTGCGTCCGCATCTCGATCGAGAGACCAACGGCCTCTCTCATGACACGTCGTAGCTGCGATTGAATTTGATCTTCCAAGTTCGACGGTGGTGGGAGGATCTTACACAGTGTTTGGAAGATGGCCTGAACAACGGCCTCTGTATCCAGATCACGTTGACGCTTGAAACTTTCGCGCTTCGCCAGTAAAGTCAAGGTAACGGCGCGCCATTGGCGTACCGCTTCGATGGGGCCGACTTCGGTCAGCAGCTTCTCCAGTGACTTAAGCTTCTGTCTCTGCTCTCTGTCCATGCCAAAAAGATAGCGAGTGAAGACAAATTCCCAAACCATGTTCATGGTCATGGACATGAAGATATCGCGTCTCTTCACCCGGTCCCGGAGATAAACATCGACATCAGATCCATCAAGTACGGCGTTGTCGAGTCGATCAATTGTCTTCTCGTCATTTATCTCGCTTGTTAAGCGGCAGGCGCGCATATCAGAGAATTTGGAGAAACGAAGCACCCATTGCTGAACATGGGAACAAAGTTGTTGGCAACGATGGTCAAAATGATCCTCGTCGCGGATGTTGAGAAAATGATCGTCGCCAGCCTTGGCTTCTAAAATCTGGCGCTGAAGGTCACGAATTTTCTCCTTGGCAGAATCAAGTTTGGCGCGAAGCTCGGCAATTTCTGCGTCCTTTGCTTCAAGAGACTGTTCAGTGTTGCCTTTTTCGCGTCGAGCTTCCTCCAGCTCACGCGCGACAGCGGCATTGCGACTCTCAAGATCAGTTACACGACCATTGTCTTTGCTTGCAAGTTCGGCGTTGGCGCTTGCAAGACCGTCGTTAACTTCTGAAAGTCTAGAGACTTCGTTCTGAAGAAATTGTAATGATTGCTTGAGATTGTCGATTTCGGCATCGCGATCGGCTAAACTGCTGGCGGCTCGTTGACTAAGGCTCGTCTCAGCCATAGCGCGGGCTTCGGTGAGCATTCGGTTCTCGGCCATTAGCTGCTCGACCTTATTCTCGAGTTCAAGGACCTGCATGCTTTGTCGGCGGCGCATGCTGTGTGGCCGGGTTGGTGATCGGGGCGAGCCGATGCGACCCTCACCAAAGCCATCCTTTGTTGTTGTTAGTGACATATTACATTAGGATAGAAGTTGGTGATATACTTACATAGACGTCGGCCATGTCCTTGGCACGGGCGCGACCCTCATTTGCGACAGGCGTGGAACTGACGGGTGCGGCGGCGGTGGTGTTTTGTTGACGAAGAGCCCGCAAATCACTGCTCATTCGCTTGTCAACACGGCGGAGGGGCGGTGTGGGGGTGCCTGAGGAGCGGTTGATGCCTGGGCTATCAGGCCTCAACTTAAGCGGCTCCGGGGTCCGACGCCGAGAGAGGCTGGTGTTAGAGACAGTTCGACGCCCTGAACCCTCAAGACGAGGTGTTGACCGGCGAGAAGGAGTGGCATTGTCTGAAGCGCTTCTCTGACCAGAAACTGATGATGAAATCGGGTTGGGACTCGTAGTCGGAATTGGAACTGGTGTCGAAGGCTCAGTTCCTCGTAGGGCTGCCGCTAAGCCCGCACCCACTCCAACGGCGGCGACTGCCGTGCCAGCTGGAGTTAGAGCCCCATATTGTTTCTTCTTTTCTGGTTCCGGTGTTGGTCCAGGTGCTGCAGGCTCTCGCAACACCGGTGTACCTCGCGGAGATCGACGAAGTCTTCGCTCGCTCGGCGGATCGGGAGTTTCCAACACCGTTCGGTCTGCAACTGGCTGTATCTGACTTTCCCTTTCAGCCCAGTCTTCGGGATGTACTCCACTGTCGCGTGAAGCCTCTTTACTGGCAAGTTTGCTTCGCCTTAGAGTTGCTAAATCCCCTCCGAATCCGCTGTCACGATGTGACTCTTCACTCAAGCGTCTACTTCGTCTCTGGAAGCTCAATGCTTCGCCAACAGGAGCGCTGTCGCGTTTTGCTTTTGGTGTTGAGAATGCATCCTTGGCTGACTCAACTTCGGCCTCGGGAACCTCTGGGACTGGCTCCAAGAGTCTGCTTGGCGATCGGCGTAGATCACTAATATCCGATTCCGAGCCCACCAGTGGTGTAAATGTCTTGCTATCCTCTCGTAACAGACCGCTCTTGGGCTCCTCAACGTCAGATCCACGACGAAGAAGAGGCTGAGGGGAGCTTCTCAACAGCTCCAATTCTCCTTTGCCAAGCACCGGACTTTCCATTATGTCTGACGTTTCTGGAAATAATTGCCGCGAAGTTGATTTGTGCTCTTTCTTTGGGTTCGTCGAAGGACCTTTTGATGTGCCAAGAACTTCCGATGTTCCCTCGTAGCTCTCCGAGCGCCTACTCTTTCCTGGCGCATCGAACAACGTCTTGTGAACAGACGATGCGACCTTGTTTGTATTTTTTGAAGCCTTTGGTTTTCTCTCTGCTGGTTCGCTCTTGTCTTTAGCATCTGTAGCAATGTCATAATGCTTTTCCTTGTGGTCAGCACCACCACTAGCGAAGTCTTTTTCTGGTCTCTTCCTCCTCGCATCCTGGACTTCTCGGTGCGTTGTGGTTTCTCCCTGTACCCTTTTGTCGATATCTTTTACGGGTAACTTGGCGTCATTTGAGTTCTTTGTTGCTGCCTTGCTATCATTCTGCAATTCCTTTTTCCCTTCTTCCAGTGCCTCATCCCTGCTTTCGGGTTTCTTTTCTTCTTGTCTCACGCCTTTACTCTTGTCGCCCTCTATCCAGTCCCCGAACATGGCAGAGCTGAACGTCGCGGCGGTGGCTGCAATCATTCCAGCGAAAGTCGATGTACTGGGCTTGCTGGATTTATACAGGTCTGGCTCATCTTTCAAAACGTCCGAGGTGGCGGCTGTAGCTTCTGGGGAGCGTACAGGCTGATCCGTAGGTTCTTTGACGGCTGGTGGGTTCGCATCGGGAGGTCCTTTCGGAAACATGGAAGTAGACTCGGGTTTTCTCAAGACCTTCTTTCCCTCTTTTGCATCGAATGTTTCTTGTGACGATGATTTGTCAATCTCTTTCAACTGTGTTGCCTCATTTGCAGAAGAGAACTGAGCATCTCGATCAATGAAAGGTGCATGTTCCGAAGAGACTGATGGCCCAGCGGATCTCGCTTCCAACCCTACTTTCTGCGCTTTCTTCATTTTTTTCTCCAACGACTTGTCATTAGATTTGATACTAGGCGACTCTGTCACTGTCGCTGTCAAATTTGATGGCCCATTGGAGGCACTGCTTGTCTCTTCAGAGGCCACGCCTCTGGACGGTGCATCCTCACTCGATTTCATCTCCTCCGACCAAGCCGTAATGGAATGACTCTTGGAAGCTGGCGTCATCTCCGTATCTTCGTCCACTGTCTCATGTACGAGTGTAGTTGCGGGGATATGTCGCAGGGTGGGAGTTACCACAGGGGATTCTGGGTCTATGCAACCATCTTTTGTCGGAGCAGGAGCGTTGTCACTTGTTCCAGGACCTGATGCAGCTTGAACGGCTGTATCTGACTGACATTCGATTGCCAATTGGGGCTGAAAAGGCTCGGTATGGATTAGGCTACCGTACCGTGGCTGCTGGTCTGTTTCTTCTTTATTCCCAGATTCCGTCTTGACCGGTATTGGCTGTGAATCGTCTAACACTTCCGTTGTCGCAAGCTCTTTGGAAGCTGGGGCATTCGGTTCTGAGAGAAGGTGGTTGTCGGCAAGATGGTCAGAAACAGCTTGATTGGATAGCGCCCCTTGATTCCCTTCTCTTGCTGCCTCAATAGATCCATGATCCGTTTGCTTCTGCTTTTTTTTCTTTGGGGCTAACTTCACAAGCGCATCTTCTGTGGCAGCAGGTGAAGGTTCATAGAGCTGTCTTGGTGAGGGCCCAATAGATGCATTTGCCTCAACCTGAACCAGCGACGGCCCGCCTTTGCCGATAGCAGAATATCTACCTGTCGATGTCTGAGGACTTTGTGCAGTTTTGACAGCGGGATTTCCAGTACCAAAATCTTGAACGGGGGCATTCGCTTCTTCCTTCTGGGCAATCATTAAGTCAACAACAGGGTCATCCCTGTATTTGCTTTCGAGGTGCTGCTTTCCTTGTGTGGCCTGATGCGGTGCCTGGTCGGTTCCCGAGGACTCGGGCACAAGTGAGAGGTTTGGCACAACTACTTGGGCCTTATCATCAATATCTGAATCATCCGGAGTCGATTTACCGCCAGAAGCTCCGGCGAACTCGATGCGTTTCCAGACTGCTAGCTCTGGTGAAGCTTTCTCTCCTGTGATTGACGTCTCTGAAGCGTAGCCCGTTTTTATGTTCTTGTCGTTCTGGGAACGCGGCGTGGTTGAGACTTCCATCTGAGCAGCTTCCTCAACTCGCATTGATGGTACATTTGATTCGTCAGGCACGGCGCGGTGACAGTCTCTTTCGATCTCAGTTGTGGTTGTCATAGGCATTACCCCGGATGGTGGTTGAAGCTCCGGGAAGATATGGCCCGACTCGGCTGGTGCTGTTTTGACATCAATCTTAGCCTGGCCAGTGGTTGGTAGTCCGGTTCCTGGTTGGGTTCCATGAGGATCGTTCAGTATTGTATCGGCAGGCTTTGGCTGGTTTTGAGTTTCCTGTTGTGTTTGGGCATCTTCCAAGACTGCGCAGTCTTTGTTGGCATCGCTTAGTACGAAAGGAGCAGTATCTAAATTCGGCTCCGGCTGCTTCTTCTGTTCGTCCTTCTCTGGAAGTATGGCATTCTCATCGCCTGGCCTGATACCGACAAGATCTTCCTGGAACGGCTCAGCTTGTGCATCAAGTAGAGAAACATCTAAGGTGTTCTTTCTCGAATCAGGGATATCTGTCGCTGATTGCGTGGTTACATCATGCCGACGTTCCGTTGACTCCAACAACTCCGGTTCCTTAAAGGTTGTGAGTGTGCCTGTGTGCATAGCTTCATCAGACTCTTTGACAGTAACGGCTCGTAGGCTAGAGTTTCCTTCTCTGTCCAGATGGGCTCTGGAACCCTCGGCGGAGTTACCAGTGTTACTGACTTCAGCCAAATCAAGGCTCATCGCTTGTTTGGGGGATTCTTGTAGAACTTTAGGTGCTGGACGGTCGATCATGGTTGGGGAGTGATCTGTTGATGGAGTGAATGAAACCGCCTCATACTTGTCCCAGGGCTTGCTGTCAATTTGATGCTTCTGAACAAGCTCAGCAGAATGAAGACAAGTTTCATGGTCCGTCTCAGTCCTAGTAGAATTGGCTGGCTCATCGCTGTAGAGGAAATTCTCGGCTGCAACAAGGGCAGGCTCATCGTGTTCCCCGGTTTCCTTGCTCTCCTCTGGCAGAAAGTCAGATGCTATAACCGGTACCACCTCATCATTGACTTCTCCTGTTTCCTGTTGTGGCAGCATCTCTACTGCACATGTAGCGCTGACAAAATCGCCATCGATCTCTCGAGTATGCTTGGACAAGTGCTCCAAATCTGGAGGTGCTTGGCTAGTGGGGTGCTCTGTTTTCACTTCTTGGTTTGGCTTACTCAGTGACGAAGATTCCCATTTTGACGATGGAATTGGCACGCTATCGTTTCCCAGCTGCTGTTTGTTTGCAATTTCGGACAGTAGAGAGTCATGAACGTCTTCCTGCATATTAGGCGTGTGTTGATCTTTTCCAGAAATTACAGGTGTCTCTGCGATGGTTTGTGTCTCGGTCAAAGCCTGAACTTCATCGTCCGTCTTTGTGTCGTTGCTCTTGGTTTCCTGTATAGGAGAAGGTCCAGTATCACCATTCAGCGGCGTTTGTAGATCCGGTTCAGTCTCGCGGATTGATCGTGTCTCAGGTGCAGGTACTGCGTCTGCGAGAATGACCTCGTGGATGCCATCATTGCGAACCTCGAAGGTCGTTTTCTTTCCAACATTATCTTTACTGGTAGATGTCCTTGACGCCTCTGGATCTTCCACAAGTTGTCCACCACCACTACCACTGACTGATTCAATTTGAGATATAGGAGGGCTAGTGTCGGACGTACGTTCGGGCAGATGTTTGCCAGTTGAATGAGTCGGTTCAAAAGAAGGCTGAATGATTGGGTCAAGACCTATCTTCCTTAGCTTTTTTTTCATCTTCTTCCTGTCCTTGGAAGAAAGGGCTGCCCACTCCTCGACAGTAAACTCATTCTCAGCTTGCTGAGCGCCTGAGGAATGAGGATAATCGTCGCCTGTAATGTCCATCACCTGGTTTGGAGTATGAGGCGGAATCGACCCCGGTATTTGTCGAGACCGTGGACGCGCCATCGCGAGACCCTTGGCCACTTGGTTCTCATCGACCTCGTTGACTGGTTCAGAGTCTTGGACGCCTACACCATCCACTGCTTTGAGTGTGCGATGAGAAATAGCAAGCTCATGAGATGGTTCAGAAGAAGCTTCTTCATGATGAGATTCGGAAGAGGCTTTTGTCGTTCTCTGCTTCGTAAATTCATCTTGTTTCTCATTTCCTATGTTGGCAGCAGTCTGAAGAGGGATCATTGATTCGAATTCTGCGGAAGACACAGGGGAACCAGATACTCCGAAGCCTGCCCTTGAGTCAGACGTGGATGCAGCAATAATTGCCAAGTCTGCCGGAGGATTCGCAGGTGTTATCAACTCATGAACGACTGCGAGGTTTGGAGCGATGTCGATGTCTGCGGGTTTGCTTGGCTCCTCCACCTGATCGGCATCTTCATGGAGGGCCTCCTGCTTATTCTTGTTCTTTTTCTCAGATGCAGACAAACTTTCAGGGGTGTCAGTCAAGCCATGGTCAGGGTCTGCTGAATCCTCTAAAAAAAGAGAAGTGGCTGTAGGTGTTATCTCTGAACTGGAAGCATCGGTAATCGCTTGAACGGTGAGTGAGATAGGTGGAGTATGCGACTGTTCATGAGCCTGTTGAGAGGTTGAGTTTGGCCACTTGGGCTGCGTGGGAATATCGGGAATTTCCAGACACTTAGACGCTCGTTCAGTATTGTCTGGCGGTGAAGGGCGATCCTCGAAAGACTCTATGTCCAGCAGGGGTCGTTCAGCTGCCTTCGTTGCAATCTGCTGTGGTGAGGAAGTTAAGACATCACAGGCAACGGCACCAGAAGCACTTGTGTTTGTGACACTGAGTTTCCGGGTATGGTCTGTTTCGCCTTCTTTGAGACCATGTAGAGCATCAGTGTTTCCGCCGACGGAGTCGAGGTCCAGATAAGAGTTTGCAGAAGCTCCAGGAAGCTGTAGAATAGACTCAATATTATCATCAGTCGCTTGTCCTAGGGCAATTTCATCCTCAGATCCGACAGGCGCGTCTGTCGATGCATGCTCATTTAACAAAGGAGACTCAAGCACCGTGGAGGCAGCAATCTCCTCAGGTAGGATGGCATGCGTGCTGTCTGTCGTAACATGCTTCATTTCGAAAGAGGGCGTGGGATCTTGGATGAGCTCTTCGGAGAGATTTGGCTTGGTTGCGACTTCTGCCTCTTTTCCCGCCTCAAATTTTGAGCCACGGACCTCAATCGTGTCAACACTTTCTTTGAGTGTCTGTCTTGGTAGAGCCCATGACTCTGATGAGGCATCGATTTCCACCATGCTCTTCTGCTCAATTGCACTGTTAGTAATTGGGCCTTTACCAAAATTAGCGACTTGATCCTCAAGATCAACCTCCGGCGCAGGAACAACGATATCCTGTCCAGGGGCTGTAGAGTCAAGTTGAGATCCCTGAATGGCGGCATCAGCTTCAGGCTTGGCAAGGGCTTGTCCAGTCGGAGAGTGAATATTGGTGTTGTCCAGAGATTGAGTCTCATTTTTGGACTCGGATTCAGCTTCAATGACGGGCTCAATTATAGGTACAATCTCCTCGATCCCCGGGAGTCCTTCTTTCTCATCCTTAAAGTCAGGCTCTGGATCTGCCTCGGTAGAGCTTTGGGCAACAGGCTCGGATTGAACCTGTGGCTTTGGTTCAGATTCCAATCCAGTTTCAGCCGATGGTTCCGATGGTGCCTCTTCAGAGGCTCCGGTTTCCTCTGGCGTCTGTGGTTTGGGCGAGGAATCCGAGGCAGCCAGAGCCTTGACTTTCTTCAACTTCTTGATCTGTTTTTTTGACAAGCCTGCAAATTCCTTATTGCCTCCTAGTTCCTGTCCCGGTTCCGATTCTGGCTCCAGCTTCGTCCCGGACCCGACATGGGCTTCAAGATCGCCAGCTCTGCTCGTGTCCTCCATCCGTTTTGTACCCTCCGTAGGTCCTTGGCTCCGTGCCTTATCCACGGCGGCGGCGGCGTCGTCCTGCTTTTCCGGATCCGGAATCATCTCCGGCTCCGTTGGACGGTTGGTCTCGGGGTCCTGCAGGATTTCAAAATCGTTGTCTTTAGCCTTCTTCTTTTGGTCGGTCTGGGATTGACTGAGGCTTAACCCACCCCGCTCGTCTTCAGGACCAGCTGGTTCTTCGCTTGGAAGCTCTCCAGAATTACCGGTATCTGGTATATTGATCTGGTCGGCTGGAGGAGTTATTTTATCCTCCAAAAGAGCCGCTCTGTCAGGTGTCTCGTTTTCATCGGTCTGTTTAGGGGTCTCATCGTGCGCGGCTTGAGGATTTTCGGCAGGGACATGGATCATAGTATCGGCCGAAACGTCAGCATCCTGAGAAGAGGTAGCAAGGCTAGCCTCAGCTTCAGTTTCCTGGGTCTCTTCGAGAGCAGCCTTCTTCTTTTCGGCCTTCTTCTTCTTCTTCTTGTCCTTCTTTGACAGTTTCGCCGGTGAGTCGGGTTCCTCGGCTTCGGGAGGATTTTCGGAGGGAGGCTTATCGGGAGCTACAATATCAGACTTGTCCGTGGCTGGTGTTGGTTCCTGGACAGAAGGGGTTTCTACGGTGGTCTTGGCATCAGCTGGCTGTGTCTGCTCATCATCTACTGGGGTAGTCTCGACAGTGTTTATGACTTCCGACTCCATGGGAGGCGACGGACCATCTTGATGGACAGGTGTTTCTGTAGGTTCGATAACACTTGACTCTGCAGTCTGGGCAACGTCAGACTGTGCTTCTTGCGAAGCAGAATTCTTGGCTGCATCAGAGATCAAGTCTTTAGATGTTGGCTCGGGAGGTTCTTGGAGTGTGTGTTCGGCTTCAGGCTGCCTCTCAGGCTCGTCAGAGGAAGTGGCCTTCTTCTTTTTCTTCTTTTTCTTGCTCTTCTTATCGGGTGAGGTCTCTAGCTCGGCCTCTTCCATAATAGCAGCCGAAGTTGCTTCAGTGTCGCCCTCAACGGCCGTACTCTCATTTGCAGGCCCCAAGGGATGGTTCACAGGAGGTATGTCAGGCTGTTCGGCATCCTTTAATGGCACTTCATCTGAGACCTCTTCGGCAACGAGCTCAGCAACCGGTACTTCGTTGACGCCGGCTGTAGTTTCATCGAGGCGTAAGGGCTCGGACACTGCCACAGGCGGTTCGCTGCTCTGTTTTGCTGCACCTTGAACTTCGTCGTTCTCAACAAGAGATACCGACTTCTTCTTCTTCTTTTTCTTTGACTTCTTAGTGCTCGCCAACTCTGAGGTGTTGCCTTCAGGAGCTTCTATAGCATCTTGAGGCTCGGTAGTCACAGCCGTATCAATAACATCGATGTTTTCGTCGGTCCCTTCTACAGCCGGCAGTGACTTTGCCGCCTCGGTGGTCTCGGTCGGTTGTCCAATATCTCGAGTCTCACTTTCAGTCGAAACTTCGTTGGCACGGACTTCAACGACATCAGGAGGCCTGGCGGTAGGCACTTCCTCACTTGAGTGTTGTTTGTCATCGTCTAGAGTGCCTTCAGCTTTCTTTGATGTGTCGATTGTTTCAGACTCCTGTTGGGGTCCTTCAGCATTGCTGATGTCCACCAGTTCCTCGGAAACTTGCTCTCGGACTTCAGGGACGACTGATGCCGCTAACCTTTGAGCGACACTCTCTTCAAGAGCAGCAAGACGTGCTTGATCCTTCTTCAGAAGTCGCCCTTTCCTCTTCGCTCTCTTCTCGAGCAGAGCTTCGATCTCTGCCTTCTCGCTCTCCGCCTCAAGGTTCCCAACTGCGAGAGAGGGTTCTTGCTTGGCGGCTTCCACTTCCAGGGAATGAGTATCTGGTCGCCTTGGAGGCAGTGCTTCATCAAGAGCAAGTTGAGGGGAACCATCATCTGCAGGCGGGGGTAGCTCATCTATTGAATGTTCGCCCACCGGCTTCTCACTCTGTGCCTCGCCTCTTAATTCGGGCCCAGCTGACACGTTTGCTGTTTGTGATTCATCCTCAATATTAAGAACAGTTGAGTTGCCAAACGCAGGTGTCTGTTCTTTGGTATCGAGCCCCATTGGGAGATCGGTCTGCGATCGTTCCTTAAACACAACCTCAGACGATTCACCACCGATTTGGGGCTGCTCTTCAGCTTCAGGCTGAGATGGCTGGCCATCGGCTCGAAGCTGTTCTTTTAGCTCCGATTTAGTTGGTTCGTCGCTGATGTGCACCAATCCTTCGACTTTAGGCTCAACTGGCTCTTTTCCGATCTCAGAGGAATCCGGAACGTGATGCTCCGCTGAGTTGTCATCAATCTGTGATCGTTCTTTGATTTCAGGATCAGCTGGCCCAGCGTCACTTGGCAGCCTTTCCTTATGCCCATGCTCAGACAACTGATCATCAGTCTGCAACCGTTCGCTGGTTTGCGGTTCCACTGAAGCAGTATCTAAGGATGACTGCTCTTGAGATTGGTTCTCAGCTGGCGTGTCATCAAGCTGTGGCTGGTCCTTGACTCCTGATTCGTCCAGTACGCTATGTGTCGACTCGTCATCAGGCTTCTGGTTGAGGAAAGCAATTTCAACAATAGAGTCAGAAGTTTCAACCACGGGATCTGGCACCAGGATATCAAGGTTCTTTCTGCCAGACATTACTGCTGTTTCGGCACCTGATCCATCCTGGCTGATTTTAACGTCCGTAGTAGTGTCTCTGGTTTCTTCCTTGGGAGCCTCATCTTGGCTAGGTTGGTTCTTCTTTTTCTTCTTGTTTTTCTTGGCCTTCTTCTTCAATGCCATTGCATCCGCCTCGTTAATTTCGCCAGTAGCTTCCACACTAGACTTCGCACCCTCTCCTCCAGTTATCTTGCTGGCATCTTCTTTGATCACTTCTCCAATGCTGGCTTCTACGGGCTTTGTGCTCAATTCTGAGCCTGCTACCACAAGTCCCACATCCTCATCCTCGACTGGAACAAGAGGCTTTTCTTTGACAAGCTGACCAAGATCAGCCTGAGCTGGTATTGTTGAATCCTTGTAGGAAGCCGCAGTAGATTCATGTGCTGGGTGCTTAACATCATCAGCCGTAGTTATCGTCGAGGAATCTTCTTGTTTGATTTTGTCGGACTCGGTTTCAGTAGAAGCTGTTGCCTCCCCCACGCTTGTTGCTGGATGACCCATGGCATTATCTTTTAACATTTCGGCGGAGTCCTCCTCAACAGCCGAGATCGGGAGTGTCTCGGTGAGTTGTCTGTCCTTGGTGGTAGTCACTTCATCCTCAGCAAGGATGTCGAGGTTAGCATCCCCTGTAGCCTTGACTGATTCGTCAACTTGGGAGGATTCCAGTCCAAAAGAAGTTCCTTGAGACTCGTCTGCCGGCGCATCTCCTTGCGAGAAGAGTGGTTCAGAGATCTGGGGCTCTATTGTGGTGCGACCCGCCTTGTTGGCATGCGTCTCGGGAGCGGTATCAGCAGCGGAAACGTCTGGCTCGACGTCGGCAACTTCTGGGTTTCCAGCGCTTACGCTAGAAATCTCTCTATCCCTGGGAGCGTCACGATGGAGTTTCGGTGTAATAATATCAGACCTAGTGCCTGTGACCGTTGACTTATCAGCACTTACTGCATCAGGCTCAGGTTCGACCGATTTATTTTGTGTCTGCGCTTGATCCCGGAATCCCCACATCCTCTTGAAAGCGGAAATTCCAGCCGTGGCGGGGAGTGCCCGTAGAGCAGATGGGAAGTATCCTTGACTTTGTCTGTCTTTTCGTGCATCTTTGGCGGAAGTCTGGGAATCACGAGCGGCCGGATGATAGTCGACATCATCTTTGGACTCAGGATCGTCAGGCTCGGGAGCCTCAACTGGAGAAGCCTTTCCACGATCAAGAACTTGATCAGTATCTTTTGATGACAAAACAGACTGTGGGTCCGGAGCCTCATTGTCTTGAGTAAAGTCGGTGGGCTCAGCTACCACAACGGGCGGCTCTTCCATCGGGCTTCTGCTGGCATTCTTAATCGCTTCATTGTCACCAACGTCCTCAACTTCAAAAGACTCTCCTATTTGAGGCATCTCTTGTTTCTCCACCATTGGCTCATCATCGGCTCTGGCGCCCTTCTTCTTCTTTTTCTTCTTCTTTGACTTGGGCGTAGCGGCGCTGTCACCCTCGGCTGATACAATGGGCGATTCGGAAGCCGGGTCGGAGGCTTTTGTAGATTTATCCAGTGTCTTCTCTGGAGCATCTACACTTTCAGTCATGGTATCTGGTTGGGCCCAGGCATCGAATGCATCTGCACCGACAGGCTCAACAGAGACCCCTGGGAGTGGTTCCGCCATAGAACCTGAGGCACCATGGGCAGCTGTTTCAGATGATTCAGCAGAGGGTTCAATGGGCGCGACTGGCTCCGTCCAAGCATCAAACGCTTCTTTTTCAGCTTCGGAAATTTCAGCTGGACCTGTGCCTTCAACCTCGGTGACTATTGGCTCTACAGAGATTGCTTCCTCTTCGGATGGCTGCTGCATCTTGCTTTTCTTGTTTTTCTCCTTGCTCTTGGATGGAGACACCAGTCGCTCTTCAAGGGCCGCTTCTGCGATAGGTGAAGTGATGATGGAGGTCGATTCCGCGGTAGCTTGAGCATTGGCAGAAGATTCGATGGCGTTGTCTAGCCCTCTTGGTGACTCTTCCGCTACCTGGTCCACCAATAAGTTCGACTCAACTGGTTTGTTTTGCTCAACGACTTCCTGGACTTCTTCAGACTGTGCGATCGTATGCTGTTCCCCATGCAAAGCCTCAGGCTCTTGAGGCTTCACGGCTTCGGTGGCGAAAGGGTCGGTAGAAGAATCCTGAAAGGGTTGAGGTGTAGATTCGTGGGTGGGCTCGAGTTCAAACATAGCCGGCTTTGTTTCAGAAGCTTCATTCACTACGACAGCCTCGTCGCCTAGAACGGCATTGTCATCCTTGCTAGCAGCGGGGACGGGAACGTTGAAAGAGTCTTGAATGATCAGCTCAAGTCCCTTCTTCTTGAGCTTCTTCTTCATGTTTTTCCTATCCTTTGCGTTCATGGTTGACCACTCATCGGTGGTGATCTCATTTTCTGCACGCTGGGCAACGGCATCCCCAGACTTTACAAACGGTGTTTCCGATTCTTGAGTAGCAGGCTCCGTATAGGGAACAACAGCTGGAACTGATTCAGGCTCGGTAACAGGGTTGGTTATCCCGGTATTGGTGTCGCGAGCAATATCGATAGTTCGCTTTTCTTCCATAGGCTGGGCGGCGGACTTCGTGGTGGAATCACTTACTGAAACTGCTTCAACAATGGGATCTGTGACAAATATGCTGTCCGGCGCTCTGATGGATTCGGGTTTTTCGTAAGTCGTATCGATAGCAGGTTTGGTGTTCTGGCCATTAAAAGGCTCAATGATCTCAGGGCCTGTTTCTTCAACTGCTTGTGACGGAAGTTCTGGAGACAGAGTTGTGACATTCTCAACTGCGGACCCAATTGCGAGTCCTCCAGTGCTATCCTCTACCAAAAAGTCTGCAAGAATAGGCTCGAGGACTTCGTCATTCGCACCAACAGTTTCATCTTCTTCGGGAGTAACAGGTTGCTTGAATGTGGCAATCTCGGCGGAAATCGTAGAAGAATTAGGCGCAGTCTCACTCGTGGCTTCGGTGATAGGTTCAACAGCGGGCTCAGCAACAGGCTCAGCAACAGGCTCAGCAACAGGCTCNGGCTCAGCAACAGGCTCAGCAACAGGCTCAGCAACAGGCTCGGCAACAGGCCCGGCAACAGGCTCGGCAACAGGCTCAGCAGCAGGCTCAGTGACAGACTTGAAAACAGCTTCTCTTGGTGCCGTCTGCTCTGCGAGACCCTGGAGAGCGTCCGAGAAATGCTTATCAGCAGATGCAAGGTCATTTGTTTTGTCTGCGGGTGAGTGAGTTCGTTGCTGGCCTTCCAAAGTGGTAGGAACAGCCATGTCAGAAGCGTCAAAGGGCAACGATGCAGCAGAGACATCGCTTTCCGTTTCCTTGCTGATGACTTCCGCAGGCATCGGGAGATAAGTTGTCGGTTCCTTCTCATGCTCTCTGGCAGTGTCAGAGGAGAGAGGGCCTGGGAGCATGGGCATAAACTCCGCACGAGGCGTTGTTTCCTGAGATCCTGCGACAGAGTCCTTGGGATGCTGCTCCGATAGCGCGGTATCAACACGAAGATCAGGGCCGGTAAAATCAAGACCGGAGCCGAAATAATCGTCACTATGCTTGAGGAACTCGGATTCGGGTGAGTTCCTTGCAGAAGTCTCGCTAGGTTCACTAGGTGGGAGCGCAGGTAGCACTGAGCCAGTAGTTGGTTGTTGGTGTCGTGAGTGTTCTAGAAGATACAGTGGCATGATTTCTCGACTGTTGTCCCAGGATGTTGGTCGAGCTGCTCGCCTTGACATGACCACAGCATCCGAATGAGACGTTATAGGGGAACTAGCGGGGGACGCCTTAAAGCTAACAGGAGAGGCGGGGTTTGACCTATTACCCAAACGAAGGGCGATAGGAACAGCAGTTCGGCTGGGTGATTTTGTGGGCGTGTCAAAAACGCTACGACGTCGCTGATGGGTACGTGAATCTCGCCGAATTATACGCTCCTCTGGGGGCGTGTCAGGCCTGCTGTCGGGAAGAGGGGGTAGTTCCTCCGGACCAGAAGAAGGGCTAGTTGGTTCGCTGGGAGGTAGCGGAAGGAGGTCGCCATATTGAGGGTCAATGGCTGGTTTGATAACACGGGGCACGACTTCGGGGTCAACCAGTTCGAAGCTGCGCGCACGAGGCCGGCCATCACGAGAGACAGAATTCTCGTGATCTGATGAGGTCTCAGCGGCGTTGGAACGAGCAGCATCAGACGCAATAATGGCCGCTGCACTCGCTAAGCCGACACCCGCGCCAAGGGTGCCGGCATTATCTAAAAAAGAATCCTTCTTATCCTTGCGTGACTTGAAGAGGCTAGAAAGAACACTATTGCTTGGTCGCTTCTCAGGGGTTCTGCGTTCTTTGTACTCCTTGTCCCGGCGAGATGAGCCAGGCATGGATGCAACCGATTTCACATCATCATCATCATCATCGTAACGCGAAGACTTGCGTCTATGTCCGCTCTCGCGCCGACGGTCATCTCCACGCGCCTCAGATACGACAGAGCTAACATCTCGGTCGTCAAAGAAGTCACGTCTTCGATCCGCTGGGCTCTCTCTGCTGTCGCCGAAATCTTCTTCGGCTCCACTCCTTCGTTTCGACCTCTTGCTTCTCTTGCTGCTTGAACTACCAACAGAGATTTCGGAGGCAGCTAATGACCGGGTTGGGGAGTCATTGCTGTAGGTGTGACGCTTCGATCTTTTTGGCCGCTCATCATCATCAGGCCTTCTGTGGTGAGATCGATCTCTTGTTCTATCCCGTGACTTGTCTCTAGACCTTTCTCTAGACCTTTCTCTAGATCTATGGTCTCTTGAACGATCTCGAGATCTATCCCGTGACCCATGTCTGGATCTTTCTCTAGACCTATGATCTCTTGAACGATCTCGGGATGCTCCTCGTCTTACAGACCTTCGATCAGTGGGGTCCAGTGTAGAAGAATCTCGATATGTGGCATCGTCGCGAGAATCGCGGTCCTTCCTGTGCTTGCTTGAATACCTGTGGTCTTCTCGCTCATCGTCTGATCCAACGTCTCGGGAGGATAATTCTCGAGATGAACGGCGATGATGCGAAGGCTTCACAGGGGCGGAGACGCGAGACCTGTCGTCGTCATAGTAGTAATCGTCGTCATTCTGAGGCTTGCGCGACTTCCTGGGAGCGTCTTGCTCGTCTTCAGAGCGAACGTCGCGAGATGGCGTTTTTCTTGAACTTGAGGAGGCAAGCGCACCCAAGGCGAGAGCTGGCACAGCCACCTTGGCGATATCCACGGCGTTGAAGCTCTGGCTGCGATCGTATTCTGCAAGGGTATTCTTCGATTCAGATTCATGATCAGATCTGGTGTCTCTGGCTGGTGCGTCGCTCGCGTAGTGATTGGTAGACGAAGTACTTGGGCCCATGTCATCGGAATCGCGGCCCTTACGATCCTTCTTCACCCTCTTGCGAGTGGTATCTTCCCATACCTCTTCACCGACCTCCCTTGAAGGTGACGGCTCCGTTTTGATGTTCTCAATCTTTCCATCATCCTGAACAACGACAACGTTGGACTTGTCTCGCTTGCGCGGTTCTCGCTTGCTCAACTTCGAAGTTTCAGAACTGTCTTGAGGAAGTGGCACGTCATCAGGCTTTGGCGAGTCAAGCTTGATGTCGTGCTCGCCTTCATACCTAATAGAAGGCGTTTCCTGAGGGGTCTCAATCTCTCCGAGAACAAACCCTTGCTCGGGGAGAAGTTTTGGGATGTTATCATTTTTAGGCTCGGGAATGCTCTCGGCGGAAGGTCGCTTGTACCAGGAATTGCCATTTGTGCTGCCATGAGAATCACCGTTTGCCTCTTGAACACCTGGAGGAGAGTCACGCCGACTGTAGGAGGGGTCATCAATGACGATGTCGGGGTTGAAGCCAGTATCCTTCAGGCCAGCTGCCAGCGTGGCAGCAAACTCGAAGTCATCTGCAAAGCCGCCAGGCATCTTTTGAGGATGTGGACTTGGAGGTTTAGGTCCAGGGATTGGAGGTTCGTGCATCGTATCGTCACCGGAAACGTCTTCAACCCGGTGAACAGAGATGTCCCTGCTTGCTTCATCTGGAAAGCTTCTGGGTATATCTGGGGTTTTGGATGACACTACAAAATCAGGTTCGTTGTGTGGCTCGGCGCTGCTACCAGCCAGTGCCGCGGCAAGAATACCCCAGCGACTGGCCTTGTTTAGCTTCGGCCTCGGCTTGTCGGGCGATTTATCAGTAGGAAAGTAGTTGTCAGAATCACTTCGGTTCTCTGGTGTATCTACTTCAAAGCTCTTCGTCTCGTTCTCACCCCAGCTGACAGATTTGGGAACAGACACGAGTTCGCTAGCAGAGATGATCTCACCCTTGGGTCCGATGCTGACCTCATCAGGCGTGGGTATCTCATCACCCGCCTGCCTTACACCTTGTGCTTGAGGAGCTGGCGTGTGTTGACGACTTGTGGCAGGAGTAGGATATATCAGATTGAGGACAGGGCGCTCTCGTGAAGGCTCTCTTGACCTCAAGACAAGAGCAGAAGAATTGTCACCCAGGTTTCGGAAATGGCGTTCTTCACGGGGGTATATCTTATTATCGATCTTCACATCTGCATCTGGTCCATCAAACATGATGTTATCCGGATGCTTGTCTTCCATGATCGGCGGTGTGACAATTGTGAATGGATCATTCTTATCTTCTTGCCACTTGTCGACGACAGATCGCTCAGGGGATGCACTTCGGGATCGCAATTCGTCAGAAGCGATTTTTCGGGCGATGCAGGCCTCACGATAGAACCTGTCGGCTTCCTCCTGCACAGTATCTTTGCGACCTCTTGAGCTATCTTGAGATCTATTGGTGGGATAGCGATGGTGTCCATGCTTTTGAGACCGCTCATGTTCGACTGCAACGGCGGATGCTATTGCGGCAGCTGCAACAGGAATTGTGGCATGTTTGGCCTCATCAAGAATAGATTTGGCCTTTCGCTCGTCCTCTTCAAACTCATGATCGGCTTGAGTATCGCGACGTTGTGCTGGATCGTGAGTCTCCCGACGGTACTCGTCAACCATGCGCTCAATCTCAAACGAGTCTCGTCGGCTTAACCGAGCGTCGGCTGCTGAAGAACTTGGCGGCGAGTCGTCAAAATTAGGCTCGCGCTCAATGGTGACAACATTAGGTGTAAGAGGGCGCCCAGGTGTGGTTCTTTGAGACACAGTGAACGCATCGTCCGCAACTTGGTACTGGAAGGGATCAATAGTCTCATGTACAGTTTGAGTTGAGTTGCTTAGAGGGCGATGGCCAGCACCGACAGGTAGAGGAAGGTCACGGCCATCTTGAGTCGCATCACGCTCGCTGTCGTCAGCTTGGACGACAGGTTCACGCAACACTTTGAACTCCGGCCCCGATTCAATATGGAATGCTTCAACTTCGCCCTGATCCCTTTGAAGCACATCTACAACACCAACATTCTCCTCCATTCTATCCGTGGGGGTATCGTCATGATCATATCGTCGTGAAGATTTTCGCTCGTCATTATACTTGGGAAAGATAGGCTCGGGATCCGATCCACGGTAGTCACGCTCCCATTTCACATTTCGTTCACGCTCGTCCTCCAATGTTTCCTGTCGCTGGGTATGGTGGGCCAGACGTTGTTCCCAGTCGAGTCTCTGACGTTCCGGATCTTGGACTTTTTGCCGTTCCAACTCTTGAGCTTTTTGATGCTCTAGCTCTTTGAGCTTTTGTTCCTCTGCTTCTAGGGCCTTCTGGCGCTCTAGGTCGATGCGCTTTTGCTCACGGCGGTCTCGATCAGCACGGTCATGTTTCCTCCCATCACGATTCTCGGAATTGTCCTTTCGCGAGGATGCTGAAGATACCATAGCCGTACCGACCGCTGCTGCTGCGAGGCCTGCTGTAGCAACTCCTGCCCAGCTCTTCCCGTCGGGCAGCTCGGATTTGCGCTGCCGAGGTTCCCTGCGGTTTGTGTCATCAAACTTCTCGGCATTATAAACTTTTGATGAGACCGCCTGCTTGGGAACCGGCTGTTGCAAGGGAACCGGCGCCGGTCGAGTTGACGAATCCTGGCGCCTGTCAGACATTGGGAACTGGCCTCTGTCAAATCTGTAGGGATCAGAGATGGGAACAGGATACACATCTCGCATCTGAATTGGTCCACCAGTCTCTAGGCTAGCAGAGTCGCGACGGTATGCAGCAGCCTGTTCTTCATCCAGGAAGCCACAGGGAGTATTAATTGAGCCTCGAAGAGAGTTGTAGGGGCCAAAGAGGCGAGGGTCAACGATAGAGCCCCGGTCTCCATATCGCCGAGGGTCAAACACTGGGCTTTGACCTGAGGGCCTTCTAGAGCCAGCCAAAGCGTGTGTGGCTACTGCAGTTCCTGCAGCCGCTGCGGCACCAGCTGCGGGCTTAATAGATTCGCCAACGATGCCATATGCAAGCTCGGAGTCGGCAGCAGAGCCAGCGTCATCACTACTAGAGGACTCATCGTCAGAGGCATCCTCCCAGTCTGAGTCATCATCCGAAGTGTCGACGCGCTGCTTTGAGCTACCCAACCCTCGTGAGCCGTGTTTCTGCCGGCCATAGCCAGATGCCATAGCTGCGCCAGCTGCAAGTCCCAGAGCAGCCGCCTTACCTTTACCTGATCCTCGACTGGATAGGCGTTGTTCGTCTTCCTTGGACCGCCGCGCTAAGTCAGAGAGTTGCTGGCCAAGGGCCATTATCTCTTCATCGGCGGTCTTCTTCCGAGGCGTGGGTCGCGATGCGCGATCGGACCCCCCTGAGCTGCGCCGCCGATGTCCTTGGCTCGGACCATGGCCTGGAGAAAACGCATAGCCTTGGCCAGAGGCACGGCTTTGGCTTCGGGGGCTCAGTGTACGGCTTTTTGGTTGCCGGACGTATCCCTGTCCGTAGGCTAGGTCAGAGTTCACAGAAGATGATGATGAGTTGCCAAAGTAGAGCACGCGGCGCTTCTGTTTCTTCTTTCTGTGGAGACGCTGTTTGACCCGGTCCGAAGGCGCCTTGAAAAATGTGCCAAAAACACCACCAAACTGTTTCGTGTCCTTGTATCGCGAGATATCTAATAGTGATGTCGATGTGTCACTTGAGGACGAGAAAACACTTGAAGGTGTCTGAGGTCGTTGTGGATTATGCTGTGGTTGATAAGGGTTATTATATCCTGGCACCGGCTGAGGCGGCGCGCTGGAATAGCGTTGCGATTGTTGATATTGCTGGGGAGGTGGTGGAAATTGTGGATACTGCGGTGACTGTTGATACATAGGGGACTGTTCATAACGTTGAGGGTCATATGCTCGTTGCTGAGAGTGTTGTTGATTCATTTGCGGGTTTGGTTGTTGGGGATGTTGTGATTGTTGTTGCGATGGCTGCGATGATTGCTGACGCGAATCTCCCTGATCTCTCGGATCGCGGTCGCGAGACTCGTACCACCGCCGGCGAGATCCCTCGGGGTCCCGAGAGCGATTGTCTCGCTGCATTGCGCCGGTTTACGGTCTACCAGCGTTGCGAGGTTCGTGGAAGGGGTTCTGAGTGTGATGTTTTGATGGTGTTTTGTTTTCGGGAGCTCGTTGCCAGCTTTCATGGGGCCCGTCCGCCGCGGCCCGCAAAACAGGCGGTGGCTGGGGTCGCACGTCGTTGGTCAAGCTGAAATAGAATAGGTGGGGATTCTTGCGGGTCTTAGATTTGATCTGGCCTTCTGGGCTGGGCGATGAGCCATTTGCTATGAGGAGGCGTGGGCGCTAATTCTCAAATATTGACTTGTACATACACTTGATGGTTAGGCGAGTATTGCCGGATCTAAATGGCATGTTGTAAGAGACAACTTCTAGGGTTGTCACACTTGGCCTGACATCGTGGGCGTCTGGCTTTAATTAAAGTGCTTCGACAATCTGAATACCTCAGTCAGGCCGCCACACATTGGCTAGCGGCGTCGTAATATCCACATCGTAGATCCATTGCCAGCTGGCAGTCATATGCAGTCACACATGCAGACGGCGTCGGTTCTTACAGGCCACGAGGTGGAGCCTACCCTGTACAGTATCGAAAAGTAATGATCTCTTTTGTTGGTTGTCTCACAGTGCCGGCCTCGTATTGCAACTCTACCTCATTGGATAACAATGTCTACGTCTGAGAAAGGTCTCATTTTCTACAAGCTGGGCAGAACTGACAAGAATTTGCTAGGAATGCTCGTAGACATAGTGTATCGGCGAGCCGTTCCATCCCTACCCGTTAGCTAAGACAAGCTCCAACGTGAATGAACGGCTCAATAATTGCACCCACACACACCCACCTCGCGAATCTCCCGACTTACACACATAGACACACCATCTCACCTAATATCGTCTGTGCAACCTAATATTGTGTACTCCGTAAATGTAAGTAAATCAAGCTTTGTACTGTACACCGAATCTCTGACCCAAAATCGCCAAACAAATAGACCCGTATCATATCAGTAGCCGCTCACTGTTTTGATATTGACATGCATACCTTTCGCGGGCCGGGCCGTTATACCGCCCCGAATTTCCACTTTCTTCTCATCCATCTCCTCAGGGTTCGCAAGGGTGAACTCAAAGCGACCAATCCATGCCGCTAGCAAACATGCGAACTCTGCTCTGGCGAAACTGGATCCAATGCAACTCCGTGGGCCATGCAAGAAAGTCAGGAACGCGTAGTTGCTGCTCGCTCCGCCACTCGCTGCTTTGCGGTCAGCGGAACCACTCTCTCCACCCGATGGGAGCCACCGCTCTGGCTTGAATTGACCCGCATCGTGACCCCAGAGCTCAGTATCGAAATGAGTAGCCCACGGTACAATGACGACGCGTGTGCCGCGGGGGATTGAATGGCCGAGAATGGTCGTATCGTAGGCGGCATCGCGCATCGTCAACGGGACCGGGGCATAATATCGCAGAACCTCGCTGCACACTGCATTCAAGTATGGCATGCGGTCTATGTCGAGGCTGGTGATATCGACGTCCGAATCTACAGAGGGAAGATGTTCACGTACTTCGCCCCGTAGCCTGCTCTGAATATCGGAATGCTTCGAGAGCATATATATTGCCCAGGTCATCGCTGATGCTGTTGTCTCATGCCCTGCAGCCAGGAATGTCATGAGTTGGTCAACCAGGTTTTCGTCAGTGAAACCACCACTTTCAAGAGCGACCGATAGTATATCAACATCGGCTTGTTCCTTATTGGCAATTTTTGCCTTCTTCTCACGGATAAGATCTCGACAGACCGCCCGGATATCGGTGGCCGCCTTAGCAATATCCTCGTTTCGACGGAAAGGTAGCTTTGTGATGAATTGCATGGGAATAATCATGCCAATAAAAGCGAGGACCTGAGCCTGGCGTGAAGGCTTGAATATCTGCTTGTATGTTTGAGCGAGAGTGTTTTGGGGGTCTTGAATGGCGCCAAAGTCCCGACCCATCCCAGCGAGACCAATAATATCGAGTGTGGCTCGTGATGCCCAACTAGATATTTCGACATGGACCTCTCCCTCCCCACCGAACTCTGCTACCATGGTGCGTGTCACTTCCCTGGCCTTGCTCCAGAAGACTGGGTATAAATTCTTGATGTGACGAAACGCGAATGCAGGTGTCAAGCTGCGGCGCTGCATCTTGTGCTCCTCCCCCTCCGCAAGTAAGATGCCGATTCCAAGAATACGACCAATGGACCATCGAAAATGAGAGGGCTTCGGGAATGCATAACTGTTGGTACTAAGTACCTCAGCCAAGGCTTTAGGTGAGCAGACCATCACTCTCTCTTGATTGAAAAACCCACGATAGCAGAGTAGGCCATCGTTGGGAATCTCAGAAGCCCTAGACGAAAATTGCTGATTAGCGGGTTTTCCGTCATCTCGAATTAGACACATGAAATACGCCCACGAACCATTCTCGCATTGGAACACCTGAGGGTTCGGCCATGATTTTCTGCGCTTGACCCATGAACCAATGGTTCCCGGAAGGTCCAGGAAGATGTCTCAAGGGAGACACAAATAAAGGATATATCCATACGGCCCAGATACCCCAGACAGCGAGGCTCGCAATCCAAAACTCTGTGAAGTGTCCTAAGAGCTGAAGTCTTACCCAGCTGTTCTGTGCCCATGCGAGCGACAAGGTACCTGTAGCAGCAAAGGCTGTGATAAGCTCCCAAGGTAGCCCCATGATATTCGTGTTTAGATGAGAATGCAGAGAGAAGGAGAAAATTCCAGAGGCAGATTTTGAACCTTAGGTTGAACGTAGGAAAACACATGCAATGGTGACAGTTGCGCGTCTCAAGGGGTACAGTGACAGGGAATGGTCTTATAAGCGATTCGTCTATCTTCAGCGTAGTGGGGAGGCCTAAACATCCAAGGCTCCATGAGATACTCGAATCGTCAGAGATATAATAAACGGACGCACCACACGGTCCGAGTCGGTCATCAACATTGCACCGTTCCAACGGCATCATCGATGAAACAAAAACTCCGACCGACCAACGCTTGATGCGGAGACATCAAGGCGCTAGTTCCACTCTAGTATAAGTTGCGGAGCTGGACGCTTCAATGGAAATCCGATCGACGAGATCAGCAGGCATTCTTGGCTCCATGAACCGAGCAAGGGTCTTTGGGAGTCTAGGGCAGGAAAGAAAACCCAGGACCTCAATCCTAATTGACAAAAATACTTAGGTAATTTAGTATAAATTTAGGATATCTTTACTACCTAAGTTTAGAATACCTTTTGCTTAGTTTATTTTGACAACCTATATTAAGGTCCTGTATTTTCTTCCTCCCGAGGGGGAGTGTATCATAGTACAGCCCTTACTCGGTATGAAAAATCTTTCATTCGATATTATCGCTAATTCCGCTACAGTGATAGGTCGCCTACTTGTTGATGGCTGGATACGGAGTAGTGAACAATTCAGTCTCTTTGCACGTGCCCCTTCAAAACACTTCCCTTCCAATCGTTGGAGGTATCAACCAGAAACATACCAAATCCCTTTGTCTGGTGCGTTTTCAACCATGACTATATCGTCATACTCAACGCCAAACCGTGCCAAAAGGTCTCTAACCTCATGTCTTATGCGAGTCCCAAATTTCGATATCAGAAGTCCACCTATTGTTTTGCGACCGCGATCCCGTACTCCAAGGAGCCATTAGCCTTTGCGCAGCCGACTATGTCATCGCAAGCGCATCCGTTCTCCATCATTCCTTGTTCCGCCACCCTTTCTTCCAATTCTTTCGGGAGATAAAGTCAAGATTATGTCACAAAATGGCACATCACCAATTGCGGTTGCCGTGATATGTCATATCCGGTGCCGCTTCGTTGTTCCCCAGACCCTCAAATGGGGAACTCGTCTGTGCTTGTAATGGGTTCCGAAGAGTCCTGAGATTCGAGTGTTGAGCTTCATCCTCTTGTGTTGCATACAAAGGTGAGATTGGCAATACTACTGGCGTCGCTCCAGTCGATGATTCGGTTTCATTGTTGTGACCCCGGACCGCCGTCGACCCATCGCTTGCGTTCTGGGTGGGTACACCTGTCCACTCATGTATCTGTCTCTCCGTGAGGGGACGTTCGCTTTGCGGTATTGCTGATAGACTAGAACCAACCGCTACCAGCTGTGGGGACATCGACGTCGCCTGGCTGCGATTTTCGGGCAATGCTAAGCTGTCACGCGTGGATGAGCTGCCGTACCGTGCTCGAAGTCGACGGTGCTGGTGTTCAACACCTTCTCTAGGGGGAGGCCTTCCTTCTCCAGGTACTTGTGCAGAATATCGAGGCGAGCCATTGTTCAATGGGCCTGCGGCTCCATATCTGGCCATAATTGCCCGTGCCAGAGCCTCATCTTGTGGACCACTTGCTGCCATTCTATTGCCTAAGTCAGTTGATTGATCAAGCAGAAAAGGTATTGGTGTTCCTCCTTCTCTAATTCTTGACTCACGCTGGATGAATGCTCGCGCCTCTATTTCTTATCAGGCTGAGGAACGCAGTGGCGGACGAATTTGGCTGTGCCTTAGGCTCTGAATGTAGCCTGTCTCGACAGTATGGGCAGCTATCCGAATCCTCGAACCACTTCTTGATGCAGTGGTCGCCAAAAACATGTCCACATTTCGGTAGACGGAGGGGAGCCTCTTTAATACCTTCTGGAGTATCAACGCCGTATTCGTTATAGCAAATTACACAACCTGAAACACGTTAGCTTTCATCACTTTCGATGGGGAGAAATGTCGGACTTCGCTCTGTCTCAGCCAAGTCCTCAAGCTTGACGCTCACGAGTGACTGGAGTGTTAGCTGGGAAGCCACCATCTTGGTCGTCAAAGAGCCTCTGACAAATTGCATCTGTCGGATCAAGGCCTCCTCCACCTCTGGTGATGACTCGGAGCCATTCGGACTGTAGAGAACATGCTCGTGATGGCCATGATACCCGTCATCCTCATTATCGTCGTGTCCGGACTCCGTCGACATTATGCGCCTACGTTGTCGGGGATGAGATCGACGAA